TGATAAAATAATGTGCAATGATGAATGCCTAAGGAGGACTATTTTAAATGGCTCTGCAAGCAGTTTTCTCCTAAGGTATTTTAAATTATATAAAGAGAATTTCTAAGGAACTAGATTAAAACTTTGAACATAACAGGCTCCCAAATGTCCTTCAGTTACATCATAGCAATGTGTCTATTTGCGGGAGTTGGGGAAACGGGTCTCAGTTATATTGAACTTAAGTAAAAATGATGTGGTTGTAATGTATTTGTACATTTTGAAGTTGGGTCAAGTCTTTTTTTGACACGCTCATACAAAAGTACACAAGACAGCTACACGCAAACATTTAGCAGCGCGGAAGTTTTTGTTTTATTGCCAACTGGGAATTTCTGAGAGCTCAAGGGATCGTTCTCTTGTGTTTTTGAAAATCTCCAGTCAGAACGAGGAACACTTAACGCAATGGTTAAATGGTATAATCTGTATTATGAGTTAGTAGTAGTTGGGAATGATAGCAACCTAGCTAGAATGCTTTAGTGTTCTGCGTGGCAAGGCATTATCGGCGGCAGCGGATACAGAATAATCTTGAAGTCAGAAGGGCATAATAGTGTATAGAGTACTTACTGAGAGTAAAATTTGGGAATGACAAGGTAATTTCAATTATGCAAATATCGAATTAATAGGCCGTTAGCATACTTATATTTTCACTATAATATTAACGTATCCGTTGGGTGACGTCATCGTTTAGCCTGTGGTCGCGTTTTTGCACTGGCTTGCGTCGTTTTATATGCCCAACATGTTGTAAGCGTTTTCTATATCTTTTGTGCGTATTTCTCGGTCTCTGTTATTGCAGATGATATTACAAGTGCTCCTGCAACTATTCCTACAACTACTACAATCATTTCTACCATATTTCCCACAACTTCTACAACCACGCCGGCTGACTGCAGCAAAGACCTCAACTGTCTCGTTGTGTCTTCTCTCTACACAAAAATAAGAAGAGATCTACTTTTGCGAGAGAATGTACTGCCTCACTGGGACTTTTTCAGATCGTGTAGACGCATTTGCGAAAGGTCAGAACGCGAAGTAGCTGTACACAAATGACACAGCTTCTTCAAACGAGCGATGTCGAGGCGTAAAGACGACAGCGACGAATGAAGATGACGACAAAAGTAACGACTCTCTTAGCAGCAACGCTCAGTGAACGACAAATATCGCCAAGTAACAAGCAAAATGACGGCATGCAAAAATAACCACAACAATAAGAACAACAGCAGCAGCGGTAGCTACAACAAAGACGGCAACGCCACGTGAATATACGACAATGCACAGTCGTATTATGCTACGCATGATAAGTCATCAGGACGGTTGCCCATGAAAAAGGGAAATGTATATGAATATCAGATATAATAGGTTTAAAACACACATAATACATTCGTGCATATGTTAGTTGCTGGGTGGTATAGATGTGTAATGATAGCGCTATGCGCACAAGACTATCGAGTTGGCGAGAGAGTAGAACGATGACAAGCGATACAGGGGTATATTATTTAAAGCGACTATAGGCCTCTTTAAGATGTCAGATTTGCGGATTTGTAGGAGTGACGATCTCATGCTGACCAATTTGCTATCCAACGACAGACAACATATGCAGACGAATATTCGTGTGCTTACAGACACTCATACATCAAAAAACGCACGTAGACATGCACACATACACACACACCCACACACACACACACACACACCCATATGGACAGTAAACAGTCACTGTACAGCGCGGAATCTGCGCTACAGACATGCACATGTCGACAAAGGTTCATACCGAGAGAGAAGTACACATTTAAATTTACACATCCTTTGTTGATGTTATATTATTAATTTATGTTATCTACTCACAACCTAGCCGGTCATCAAAGGCTCCATAACTGAATGGTTCATTAGACCTTTTTGCCGTCTTTTCTTTTTGCTGTCTCCTTAATGCGTGTTCGTCTCCCTAGCTTCATGCGTAGTTTGCCAATGTGTATGTGTTAAGTCCAAAAACAGGGAAAACATACTCACAATTGCCTATTATAATACTAATAATAATATACGGTAATGGATTTATTAAAGGTAGTGCTGTTACGATCTATACGCTAATGATAAGAAGATTAGGTCAAATAACGGGAATATCAAACTGTTAATTTTTCATTTTTTCTTGCTGCTCAATTTTTGATGACACGTTTCTTGTTCGATTATTTTTCCATCGTAGTTTTCAGCGCTAGTGGTCAAAAAACAATTGGTTTTCTGTAGTTGTTTTCCTATAGTGGGAATGAGTGTTTTTCGCTGCTCAACTGTATGTGGTACATATATATAGTGCATCATTACGGTAACATGAAAGCGATGACAGGGATTAAAATGATAACGACAGTGATTTCAAAAGTAACGTTGATGTTTGTGAAGCATGGATATAAATTAAGGCAAAAATAATGGCTAAAATACTATATCTACATATATTAAGGCGAAACGTAACAGATACACAAACACGAATACATATATTTAGAGTAGTGTGTAACATCGACACCAAGTAAACAATTAAAAACAGCAGAAAATGATGAGATAAATTATGATAAGACAATGATAGTATCACATCTCATGTGCTCGTCAATTGTACAGAACATGGAGATGTGCGGGGTGCGAAGTTCAGGTGATGGCATAGAACGCTTTTTGTGCTTGGTGGAAAGCAAATACGTTGATTTTCTATACTATGTCCCACACGCCATGAACGGTATACCCCATCAACCACCTCAGCGTGAATAGACGCATGTTTGTCTGATTTAGGTGACAATACCTGGTCTTAAAGAAAAGAATGCGACAGCTAGTGTCAAACTGACCCACGCGACATTGAAGCCATGTCTAGCGGCTTTGTTTCGTGTGGTATCAAATAGTTAGACGAATCTGTCATATATAAGCTATGAAGACAGAGTTCTAATTAAGGACTTATAGATGTAAACATTTGGGGGGTCTTGGGGAAAGACAACACTGAACGCTAGCGAAAAACACATTTACAGATATCATCTACAGGTGTACAGCCACACAGACGAAGGCATACATTCACCAACCGGATAGTCGCAACAGGCAGAGAAAGTAGGTGGAACGAAAACATGATAGTCATAGAAAGAGCGTGCGCCCTGCAAGGAATTAGGAGAAGAGAAGGACGGTGTAAGGAAAAAGAAAACCTTTTTTTTTTTCAACAAATAATGATCATTGTCTTTACCTTCGAAAACAATCGTTTGTATCCGCCTACGCGGCAGAGTCTATATCGTGTTAAGCTGCGAGTGGGTCCCGTTATGCCTTTGGTCTATATATACAAAACAAAATACATGAAATATATGTGTGTCGGTAGTGCGGGTGAAAACGCGGAAAATCAATAAAGCGCGAGATACAGAAAGACAACCGGGAAAAAGAGGGTGTGCAGGTACAGACGACTGTAGACGTTGTTACTGGTATATGTACTTTCGGAACAAACCGCGAGAGAGAAAAAGACATAAATATCTAGTTGCTACTTGCTAATGCGACTATAACGGAGGATTCCTCCTAACACGAACTCCGACCGTTAGGTATTTGCGTCCCGCAGGTTAGCGTCTTCGTCAGGCAGCCAGATACAATATATATATATATATATATAGATATATATATATATATGGTCGGCGATTGCTGCTTGACAAATGCGGGCGCCAAAATAACTCGAACATTGTGGCACAGAGCCTGTGTTGGATGCACACTCAGAGGGAGTGTTGTTGATAGATGTGTGACGTGATGGTAGTCGAATAAAGTAAAATAAGCAGTATAGTAATAACAATTGCAACAATTTAGAAAAAAATTAGGAGAACCATATATATATAAGCCTAAGTCGGGTCTCTTATGAAAGCAGAAGTTAAAATACGGGACAGGAAAAATGACAGAGGTAGAGGTATGGAAAGCTCTCATTGCGGGTATGTTCGACCTTGCGATAACCCCTACACACTCAGCCTGGCTATCCGGTACTATCCGGGGTCAGTAACAACAAAAACAACTACACTAACAAAAGTAGAAGTGAAGATGGTAGTAACAGGCGAACAACAAAGCACTTTAAATCGAAATAGCGAGCGCAACAACAGGAAGAGGAATGATCAATAATTAACGGAAGTGGAAATTCCAAAAAAAAACCAGCAACTGGAGCCCAATCCAACCGACCTAAGTAAAACCCAACAAACAAAGAAACAAATATAATAATGCGACAATAAAAATAGCAATGATGATGATGATAATAGTAATAAAAGTAACAGTACTATGATGATTAATGATTATTATTAATTATTGAAGAAAAAACATAAGCAAAAACACATCCATCATTCCGGCCCGGTCCCGGTTTGCGGGCCCCTTCGATGCCGCGCCGTTGCCGGCCTTCAACAAGCATCTGTCTCTTCGTAAATTTAGAATACATGCATTGATGTTGTATATTATTTATGCCGATGATAATAATAATGAAAAGCGACGTCAAGGAAGAAATTATTATAATATGAAGAGAGCGAAAATGAGAAAAGAAAATCGTACTGATGCTGATAATGACGATGATTATAATAAAATAGAAAGCAGATGGTAATAAGAATAAATTTAAAACTAATGACGACGATGAAGTAATGGAAAAAATGATTCACTACGGCGATTGACCACTGCATGAATGATGGTCGAGGAAAAGGGAAGAGGGAGAAAAGTTGAAATAATTCAACTATGAGGACGATAATGGCAGTGAAAAAAATGTGAAAGAACGAAAAATAAATGAACATACGAAAATATGAAAAAACGACATTCTGATAGGCGGCGAAGGGCAAAAAAGAAAGAAGTCATCATTGTCAACGGCAGTGAGCGTAAAGAGTGGACTGTGTAGAAGACAAAGAATAAAATTTACACATAAATTGTCGATCGTCTTCAATGAACGGGTATTCGATAAGTGATAAATAGTCTCTTGCTATTATACAAAGAGAAAGAAGACGAAATATAGTTACAGAAATTTACGTTGTGGCGTCGAGCGACTAGTAAAAAACAACGTTGACGTAGAAAAAGGAGTAACTCCTTTATTGAATGATCGGCTTTTTCGAAAGTATGTAAAATCACAAACGGGGCTATTTAAGTAATTTAGAAATAGTTAATTATTTAACAAAGGTAAAAAGAAACTGTTTGTCGAGATAGAGCTGCGATGCTGTGCAGTGGGGGCGATGCCTAGTAATTATTTAATACTTGTGTGTTATGAGAAATCTAACTACCGGCACATTTAGAAATAGTACTTTGTTCGAGATGTAAAAGGAAACTCAACCTCTGCGTTTCGACTCCCATGTCTGGTATCATCGTTAGGTTTTCGGTCAGACGGCTAGCTCCCAGCATGAAACGAGGTGTGCTTATGGTCGAGCTCGTATCCAGAGCACAACGTGTCCCAAAGATTAGCAGGCAAACAACCTAAGAGCACTAGAGCTTACCCAACTGTAGTAATAATCCATTATTCTGCTGTCAATCTGTTATCGACAATTTTTAATCTCATTGGTGCGTTAGAGCGAAACGATTAGTTGTTAACGAAAACCACATTCATAATCACATGTGGCAATTATATATATATATATATATATATATATATAAGATCCTTAGATGCAGGGAGGTATATAGCTTGTCTGAGACCAGTGGTTTAGCCTTTCCCGATGTGACGGTAGAGACGAAGCCATGTCTGATCGGAACTGTATGACCTGCCCATCCGCTCCATTATTGCTTGACTGTACATGATGCGGAACGAGATTAAAAATGTAGAAATTTCTGGCTGGGGGTAGTCGGCGGTCAGATTGTCGACACAAACCAGCTACAGGGAAAAATGTAGCCGTTAGCACTGGGCGTACAGGTTGTAGTCCACGTGGTCGCTGGCGTCGAAGCTCGGAACGTCAAAGGAAGTGTGTCCGCAAAGGTTTGCTGATCTTTGAAATGCGGCCTGATGAAGGAGAGAAGCTCCATGCATGCTATATGAGGAGCAAACACGCGTGTACGGTCGGAAGTTGCCAAATCTAGAGCATAAAGGGCTTCGAACCCGGAAAGCGCTGGAGCTATATGACTACAAGAGATGGAAGCGTGGAAGCGCCAGGAATGTTGAATGACACTGGGGTAGCTGATCAAAAAGCATTGACGCAATTATGGGGAAACATTCCGAGACGAAGGGCGCAACTGCACGGGAGACACGAGAATGTTACATGGAAGCAGCCATCGATAGAAATAGTCGAGTATAAAATAATACATAAAACCCCTAACCTCAGGCCTATATATAGGTAGGCTGCAGCCGAGGTCATGGATCTTCACAGTATATTCTACATATATGTGCACTTTGCTTTTCCATTGGCTTTCCTATTCACGTTCAAACTCGTGAACTTAAACATGCTTCGCTTTTAGGGACGACACTTTTATTTAACAACGATAAGGTGGAATAATTGATTAAAATCGATCTCTTGATTAGCGTTTACTCTGAATTTCTTAAATCCGGCAGATACCTCGCAAGCGACTATTTAGACAGTTCTGAAAAAAGTAGCAACTGTATGGCGCGAAATACCCTTCTATTTGAAAAAGGACCTCACAATTGTAATGGGAATCGTCGCTGAACTCATCATATTCACTTATCCCGCGTCCTTAGGCCGCTTAACTATTTATTGTCGCTTCGAAACATTTTCTGAAAATACATGAGAACTATTTTAAAGCATTGCTACGATATGTATTTAGTAAGCACGCTTGAGCCTTCAAAGGTTCCTTGATGACTGGCTATTCAACACAGGCAACATAATTTTTTAAGGCTCTATCAGAATGCATTGAACCTTTTAATTGAAAATTGAAGAAGACGGACGGGAATATATCAAGGGGCTACTTGCATATAGGTGATTATAGTAGGACGATTTGAATAACTTAATTTTTATAAGTTAATAGTGAACAACTTCTTGTGTTGTGTAGGATGTATCGAAAACCTTCTGGTAGGAAGTATGCACAAATTAAGCGCCTATTTACTTCCGGTCAGTTCAACAAACTTCTCTAAATTGCAAGGAATATGTAACAGGCTCAGTATAGCCCAATGTGGTAAAATTTCATCGGAAAACAAAGAACTCTGGTAATTTTTTAGCCGCATGCATTTCGAGAACGCTGCAATTCTAGTCCTTAAAAAATCCATGTTCTCATGTTAAAAGAACGAAATTGCTCGTGTAGGTTCCTGTATGCGTAACCCTTATATCCTACGCATAAAGTACCCGGCCACACAATCTGTCTAGATTGTGCGAGGTGTGCATAAAGTATCTCCGCCTCTAACACCTTCCAAAACAACCTCTTGTTTAAAAAAAACGTCTGAAAGAAAGCAAAAGTGATAATGAAAAATTAGAGGGTGTGAAAACGTACCTCTGTTCTAAGTGCCAAGGATAAGAATTAAATTTCCATTAAAATTTTAGTATTATTTTACAATTCTTGGCAATTTGGCTCTTTTTGTAATATACTTTTGTGAGGAAAACGAATGAATAGTAGGTAATTTTCGTCCATTGATGCAGAGAGTGGCTGGGTTTCGTTGATCATATTGTAAATTGGCGTTAATTGCAGTTCTTTGTCGTTACGAGAACGTCGTTATACATTTGCTTCCTTTTGAAGCATCCCTAACAAGAATGTTTAGTGACACTGGCTTGGGTCAACGGTATGGTCACGGCGAAAAGCCATGGTCGGGGAGGTACTTTTTCGCATCAGAATATTCTCTAGTATAGGCCTGCAGGTTTTGGTGAAAAGAGATATAACTTCTTTGTTTTAATGAGTTCTGCGCAGAATCCAGTTCATACGACTATTTGTTGCCCCTTCAGAAAATAGTTGCTCATCAATTGTGCGAAAACTCTTGCATTGGCCTATACTTGTTCAGCAGGCAATACACAAATGTATGAATCAAACCCATATATCGAAAATGGACCGTGACGCTCAAAAAATAACGCAACTTATAAACAGGCTTTCATAAACAGTAATATAAAGTGATCAGAGGATAGAGCAAATTTTTCCTATTTTCTACGGGACGAGTATTGACTCGAATCGTGGGATTTGTTTGAAAAATGAGGACGTTCTGAAGATATAAAAGAATACTCCTTTATATAGTATTCCTCAAGGTTTTGTTATTTTTCAATAAATTTTGTTAAAACAAATATAGCTTACTGACAAACGCATGACACACCTCCTGACGAATTCAAATCTATTCTGTGTTAGCTATTATTTTAAATTGCTCTAGGCTTTGTCTTCTTGACTCATATAAAAGTAACTCACTTTCTATATTTCTATGTTCGGACGTCTTTCCGCAAAGACGCAAAAGCGTTTCAGTAGCCTTCTTCATGGTTAATAAAAATGTATCGAGATACACATTAGCAACATTAATAAATACATTTCATCAAGCAGTATTAAGTTTAAGTGAGTCCACGTTCGCTAAGATCGAAAAGTTACCCAGTATTTGTGAAGTTTAGATTTTTTGGGCCTTAGAACAAGTCTACTCAGTAAGAGTTTTGCTTGTGGCTCGGCAAAGGTTCTTGCGAATATATTAAGGGTATATAATGATATTCATACGGATCGAATATAAACGATGTTGTGTTTTTTCCCAAATCTTATGCTACTCGTATCTCTGTTGAGATGGATAAGCGAAAAATGTTTGAATATTTTAATTCAATAAAACTGGCGGATTTTTCGACCGGTCTCAGCTCGGATATCCCTTCCTATTACACATGGGAAAAGCCGACAGGAAATAAATGCAGATAAATTTGTTACGTTTCAGATATATATTAAATATATCAAATATAGAAAACAATAAGTAAATGATTTCTAGAACGCCGAGTGTGAAAATTAAATTGAATGTAAAAACAGTAACATTTGTCAACGCGTCAATTTTCTTAGAGCTAACTATATTGTAGATAAGGTCGAAGGCTGCAAGCAAATGTTCCAGTTTCTATAAGAAATTTATGGCGGAACCTAGTGTGTAGTAGTTGATGCTACCCATTTCATTTAGGGAAAAAATGTTTAGCTTAGATACATTAGCTGACTTCAAAAGAAAAAGGATTGCACTTTTGAGCTCTGTATATAACAAGATGCAGTATTGGTACTTCGAAAAAGACACATAGATCTACTAGCGACAATTTAGCTAAAGTGAATGCATTTCCCCTTATATAGTGTACGTAAAATCGATTGGTGCCCACCAGATTCTGTTACGGGTAAGGAGCGGGCGTGTATAGATTTAGGTAAGTCATCGTTAATCAGCTAGCTTATTTCTCTCGAATTAGGTTGTGTGGTATAGACTGATTGATTTATCTATCAGCTTACAGCATAGTACTTAAAAGGGGTGCATATTATCTACGAATGCTATTTGGCCGTGTATAAACAATGACCATCTATACATTGTGTTTTTTAATTTATTTTGTTCATCTTAATTAATTTGATCTCCTATTTACACGGACATTAATTGTACACGGACACACACACACACACGGGGCTTTCGTTGATCTTCATCGAACGGAAGCCGGCAGTGGAATTGCTTAAACATGTACCTAACTATTTCTAAGTTTTTGGTTTTTTCTTTAGATAATCGCGCATGAAGTCGAGTAATTCAGTTCGAATAGAAATTACATTGTCAAATTCGCCAAGTTCATATTTTGCTTTTTTTTTGTTGAATGAGCCCGATTATCAGTCAATAAAGCCTTTGGTACGGCTATGCACAAATGAACGTTTGGCAGCACCTCGAGAGTTGACGACCAAGGCGTGGGGACCACAGTTGGGCCCTGACACATCTTCTCGTTTCTAGGAAAATGAGATCATGTACCTTGGTGTCCTCGCAGGTCGGTAATAGTCGTATTGCTATGGTTTCATCAGTCACCAGCGTCGTTTTCGTCATCTTTTTGTTTTACTACCCTTATTTATATCTTCCTTTATATATATATATATATATATATAAATATATATATACACATATAAATATGTATATATA